AAAGTGTGCAAGAGAGCACTGGTGATTGACATTAGAAGATCAGCAGGTGATGTTTCTGTAGACAGGACAGGGCGGGTGGCATGTGAGTGGGAATGTAAGCACAGTGCAGGAAGTGAATGTTGGACAGACTGCAGTGCATACAGAGTGAGTGCAGTAGGTCACGCTGTGGCAGTAAAGACTGGAAGCAGTTACGGGCCTTATATTCTGTACTGTTATCTTTAATTTGGTAGACAGGACAGTGCGTTTAAAGCTTTTCTGGCACAGGAGTGATAGGATCAGAATGATTTTGTTGTTGTTCAGTCGCTCAGTTGTGTCTGACTCTTTGTGACGCCATGGACTGCAATACACCAGGCTTCCCTCTCCTTCATCATCTCTCAGAGTTTGTTCAAATCCATGTCCGTTGAGTCAATGATGTTATCTCACCATCTCATCCCCTGTCATCCCCTTCTCCTCCTGTCCTCAATCTTTCCCAGCATCAGGGTCTCTTCCAGTGAGTGGGCTCTTTGTATCAGGTGGCCAAAGTATTAGAGTTTCAGCTTCAGCATCGGTCCTTCCAAGGAATATTCAGGGTTGATTTCCTTTAGGATGGATTGGTTAGACATCCTTTCTATCCAAGGGACTCTGAAGAGTCTTCTCCAGCACCAAAGAGCAAAAGCATCAATTCTTCAGTGCTCAGCTTTCTTTATACTCCAACTCTCACATCTATACATGACCACTGGAAAAATTATAGCTTTGTCTAGACGGACCTTTGTTGACAAAGTAATGTCTCTGCTTTTTAATATGCCGTCTAGGTTGGTCATAACTTTTCTTCCAAGGAGCAGGGGTCTTTTAATTTCATGGCTGCAGTCACCATCTGCAGTGATTATGGAGCCCAACAAAATAAAGTCTCTCACTGTTTCCATTGTTTCCCTATCTATTTGCCATGAAGTGATGGGATCAGATGCCATGATCTTAGTTTTCTGAATGTCGAGCTTTAAGCCAACTTTTTCACTCTCCTCTTTCACTTTCATCAAGAGGCTCTTTAGTTCCTCTTCACTTTCTGCCATAAGGGTGGTGTCATCTGCATATCTGAGGTTATTGATATTTCTCCCAGCAATCTTGATTCCAGCTTGTGAGTCAACCAGCTTGGTATTTTGCACGATGTACTCTACATATCAGTTAAATAAGCATGGTGACAATATACAGCCTTGATGTACTCCTTTCCCAATTTTGAACCAGTGTGTTGTTCATGTTTGGTTCTAAGTGTTGCTTCTTGACCTGCATATGGATTTCTCAGGAGGCAGGTCAGATGGTCTGGTATTCCCATCTCTTCAGGAATTTTCCACAGTTTGTTATGGTCCACAGAGTCAAAGGCTTTAGTGTAGTCAATGAAGCAGAAGTAAATGTTTTTCTGGAATTCTTTTGCTTTTCCATGGTCCAGTGGATGTTGGCAATTTGATCTATTCCTCTGCCTTTTTCTCAGTCTGGCTTGTACGTCTGGCAGTTCTCAGGTCGTGTACTGTTGAAGCCTAACTTGAAAAGATTTTGAGCGTCACCTTGCCAGCGTGTGAGATGAGTGCAATTGTGCGGTAGTTCGAGCATTCTGTGGCATTGCCCTTCTTTGGGGTTGGAATGAAAACTGACCTTTTCTAGTCCTGTGGCCACTGCTGCGTTTTCCAAATTGGGTGGCATATTGAGTGCAGCACTTTCACAGCATCATCTTTTAGGATTTGAAATAGCTCAGCTAGAATTCCATCACCTCCACTACTTTGTTCGTAGTGTTACTTCCTAAGGCCCACTTGACTTCACACTCCAGGATGTTGGCTCTAGGGGAGTGACCACACCATCATGGTTATCTAGGTCATGAAGACTTTTTTGTACAGTTCTTCTTGTATTCTTGCCACCCCTTTTAATCTCTTCTGCTTCTGTTAGGTCCTTACTGTTTCTGTCCTTTATTGTGCCAATTTTTGCATGAAATGTTCCCTTGGTGTCTCCAGTTTTCTTGAAGAGATGTCTAGTCTTTCCTATTCTATTGCTTTCTTCTGTTTCTTAGCATTGTTCACTTAATAAGCCTTTCTTATCTCTCCGTGCTGTTCCTTGGAACTCTGCATTCAGATGGGTGTATCTTTCCTTTTCTCCTTTGCCTTCGCTTCTCTTCTTTTCTCAGCTATTGGTAAGGTCTCCTCAGACAATCATCTTGTCTTTTTGTATTTCTTTCTCTTGGGGATGGTTTTGGTCACTGCCTCCTGTAGAGTGTTACATGGGTACTCTCGCAGATCTGACCCCTTGAAACTGTTTGTCACCTCCAAATAGAGGAGATGACAGAATGTTTAAGTTAGTATTAATAAGCATGTCACATGGAATTATAGTAAATATGTGACAGTGAGCTAGGAAGGCAGAAGAGAGAGAAGTTTCCTTAGCTGACAGTTAAAGGCTGAATCAAGGAGATTTCTGTGTGAACTGCTTTGGTTGATACTGTCAACTTACACATATGAGGAGTTGTTGTTTTCTCCTGTTTGCAAAATGCTTTACAGATTTCCAGAGGACTTAATATATTTATTTTTAGCTCGAGAAGTTGTAACTTACTGCACTCTTTCAGTAGTTTTAAATGAAATGATTTTGTCTAATGAAATTAGGAGCAGGTGGGAACATAGAATTCAGAATGAAATAATATTAAGTCTTGCCATCCAGTCACTTTAGATAAACAGAAATACAAACATCACTTTAGTATCTGCATTTTTAGGTCCTTTACTATCTGCACACACGTATATCTATTAATAAGCAGTCAGTATTCATTTGCACTCTACTATGTGTAAAGCATTGAAGGAATGTCCTATGAAATGAGGAAATCAGTCTTTGTCCCAAAAAAAACTCATGTGGAATACAATGGAAACTTTTATTCCCATAGTTCCCTTTTATTTTATAATTGTTGAAATTTTACTAGGTGTCAACAATACATTAGGTACTTGCTCCTATTAAAACAAATAATTGCATATAAACCTACATGACATTTTCAGAATGAATTTTAAATGTATTTATGACAGAAACATCACAGAGTTTTGATTGCAGAAATCTTACATTGTATCCATTTTGGCAACAGTTAATTGCCCAGAACTCCAATTAAGAGTGACTTTATATGCCTGTTATACAATGAGCATTTGTGGTTTGATACATGTATTTGTTGGTTCAAAGGGATTTTTTAATGTTTAAAGTTTCTCACTGATCTGTACAAAAATTAATGTGGGCTTAGAAATTTCTTGTCCTAGAAAATCTAAAAAACTCTACCTTGTTCTGTTGTTTGGTCCACAGTTATAAACCTATGATAAAATTAAAGATATATTGATATTTTTATCATAGTTCATCTCTAGTGTATTGAATGTAATGAGAAATCAAAAACTAGCACAGGACTTTTTTTTTTAGAGTGATGGCTTAAATGATATAAAATTTATATTGTGTAGCTTTGAATTGCAAACAATGATATGTTTCAAATGGATTCTTTAAACATGTTGCTTTTCTTACCTTGACACGGGTAAATGTGGCTGTTTCACTTCTAAAGCTTCAACATCATTCTAGAACATTGAGGTGGGGGAAACAAATTGGTAGGTTACTCACTGGGTTATCTAGAACTATTCAAATTACATCACATCCTTTTTGCCACAAATTAGCCTATACCATTTGTAGATGAACTAATAAATAGTTTGGGAGAGAGCTTCATGAGAAAATACTAATCATTACTTAAGGGTCTGAAATATGTTTCATCTGTCTTTTCAAGGTTCTTCTTTTTTTTCTTTTAAACCGCTTTAATCACATTGTTGGATTAGTGAAGAGCAGCTGTTAACTCCTTTTTTTTTTTTTTTTTTTTGTATTTAGAATGGTTTTATTTGTAAGCACTTACTTTTCACAACCATAGTGTATCTTTTTTTTTTTTTTTTTTTTTTACATGTATTCCCCATCCCGGTCCCCCCTCCCACCTCCCTCTCCACCCAATCCCTCTGGGTCTTCCCAGTGCACCAGGCCCGAGCACTTGTCTCATGCACCCAACCTGGGCTGGTGAACTGTTTCACCCTAGATAATATACGTGTTTCAATGCTGTTCTCTTGAAACATCCCACCCTCGCCTTCTCCCAGAGTCCACAAGTCTGTTCTATACATAGGAGTCTCTTTTTCTGTTTTGCACATAGGGTTATCGTTACCATCTTTCTAAATTCCATATATATGTGTTAGTATACTGTAATGGTCTTTATCTTTCTGGCTTACTTCGCTCTGTATAATGGGCTCCAGTTTCATCCATCTCATTAGAACTGATTCAAATGAATTCTTTTTAATGGCTGTTAACTCCTATTCTGTAGCTGAGCAGCCTGGAAATCAGGATTCCTGAGTTCTGAGTAGTTAAACGCTGGCGGTTGTAGCTTATGAGCAAGGTAACAGTTTTGGTTTGTGTTGTTCACGCACTGAAGACTGCATTTAAAGTTGCTTGCTCTTTGAAAGCCAGACCAGATCTCTAATTGCTAGTAGTGCTGAAGCTTCGACCTTGAAAGAACAAAGGCGTTTCTGATTATACTCCTTTGTGATTTTGTCAAGAACTTTAGAAATGTCCTGTTAACCCCAGAGAGATATAATTTATTTGGGAGGAATTGAAACAAGATTTGCACCCAGTGCTACTTTTTTTCCCTTATTAAATCCTTACAGAGAGTGCTAACTTTTTCACCAAAAACTCATCATGTCTGGAAACTTTTACTACTTATTTATCTAGTTAATCTGTATCTGATTTATAGAAACTGTAGCAACTCCCGTCAGGATGAGTATCATGCTGTATTTTATTTTTCCACCTAACTTGGTAGTATTTTGGGTGGTGGCAGATAATCACTATGGTTCTTCTAAGTAAATTACATGATATTTCACTTGTTCAAATAAGCTGAAATAATATATTCTTTTCAAAACTACAGAACGTCTAAGAGCGGCTATTGGTTTAAGATCCTCCAGAAGTTAAAATTCTAAGCTAACCCTTTGATTTCCTTTCAGGTCTTTTCCAATGGTCACCTGGGAAGTGAAGAATACGATGTTCCTCCCCGGCTTTCTCCTCCCCCTTCCGCTGCCACCCTTCTCCCCAGCATCAGGTAAGTATTTCTGGATTTGGAGATCAATTTCCCATGCATAAAGTTGCTGTCCAGAGTGGTTCTGAGGTTCTCAGTACAGAAAGTGCAGGGTGACTAGAAGTGTGTTGATGAAAATAAACCAGCTGGCTTTTTAAAGTGAAGTGACAGAAATCAGATCCTTTCTGATTCTTTGCTGATAACTACAGCATTTTTGAGACCTACCTGCACTCTGAAATTACACAGAAACCAACAGAGAAAAAGCCAAGTCTTCCCTACATACAGACCGAGGCTCCAGTGGCACAGTGCTCTCCTCCCCACCCCGTCTCTTCCTCATAAGCGTCACATTTATGCCAGCTGCCCAGTTTGACATCATAAAATGATGTTTGGTTCCTCCAATTTTCTCAGTTTCTCAAATCTATTCAGCCACCCATCCCTGTTGATTGTTCTTTTGAGTTTTTCATATTCAGCTCATCTTCTCCATTGCACTAGTTTTGGCTTATAACAGGCCAGCTAAAATAGCCTTCTCCCTGATCTCAGAATTAACATCAGTGGATTTTAAAGCTAGAAAAATTAGTTTAACCAGGTGTCTCATTTGAAAAATAGGGACACAAGAAGCACATCAGATAGTTAAGTGATAGTGTCTACCCAAATAAAACCTGGATAAAGCCAAATCTCCTGATTGCCATTCTCCTCCTCCTCATATTAAATCCAGCTGCTTGTCTTCTGTCCAGTATATTTAATTCACATAGCTGATTTAATTTAAATTCTGCTTTCCAAAAATCACCTTCCTACTCAAAACCCAACATTGCTCTTTCTTTCCTTCTAAATTAATTCTGTGCTCTCCTGCTATCAGCAAGATCCACAGAATTCTACTCAACTAAAAATATTGTTCAGGAATTCCTAATGCTTGCCCTCTAGTCTTGTCTTGGTTTTTTTTTCTGGTGTTGTGCATCTATACAGTACCCTCCTATGCACTAAATTTTCAGAATCTTTATTCTCAAGATCCATGTCTCAGGCTCTACTGCTTTATGAAAACTTCTGAGACTTCTGTTATAGTGATGATAAAAAGACTGAATCTCATTCCTCTTCCTCCTCAAGTTTATTTTCTACACATTTAATTATGAACTTTACTGTTTTCTGATATTAAAGTGCCTCTTCATAATAAAAAGATTATAAGGTTTTAAGGGCAAAAACTTTTTCTTGTAATCTCTGCTTTTCCCTTAATACCTTACAACAGTTGTTACTTAGTGAGTATACTAAGAATGCTTCTTGCTCAACACTATCATCTGCCAAGTCCCTCATTTCTAGTTGAACGTCTTCGAGCATCTTCACTCCTTCCTCTGCTGATCACTGAATGCAGAAGAACAATAAGCTAGATTCCATGCTTGCATGTTAAGTCGTTGTGTCCGACTCTTTGCAACTTCATGGACTGTAGCCCGCCAGTTTCCTCTGTCCATGGGATTCTCTAGGTAAGCATACTAGAGTGGGTTGCCATTTCCTCCTTCAGGGGATCTTCCTGAACCAGGGATCGAATCTTCATATTCTGTATTGGCAGGCAGGTTCTTTACCACTAGCACCGACTGGGAAGTCCATACCACCTCCCAAGAAATTTACAATATGCTTTAAAATAAAGTTAACATAAATAAAATCACAAGAGAACATCATGCAATAAATTGTATGAATCTAACTTCTTAGTTTTTGTATATGCTTGGAGAAGAGTCCATTACAGACTTTTTAAGTCAAGGATGTTTTCAGAGAGGTTGGAAATTTACTGAGTCATGGAGGATGAGCACAGTTGGGAAGGGGTGTCCGTGAGGAAAAGCAAGAAGTGTGACATTGACATCATTTAGGGGACAGTGGGGAACTGAGCTAATTGGACCATTCTCCAGGGGCCGCTTGGCCTGGAGCTGCCAGGTATGTAGCAGACATGGAAGTCAGAAGCAAATAGGCATATTCTGTGTGGTAGACTCTACATCAGTAGTGACATATGATATTATAGCCCCAAATGAACTCTGGATATATATGTATATAATTAAAACATCTAAGCTCAATTACCTCTAATTCAGAGAGCATCAGAAAATGAAGTACATGAAATCTGGCTACAATTAGAGATTAAAATTTTGCATTCTGTTTTTAAAATTCATATTGGCAAATGGGATAAAAGGCAGAGGTTACAATTTGCTTCATTTATATTTAATATGAAGTGCTTGTTTTTCCTATAAATGAAGAACAACAAATTCATAGTCAACTGCATTTAATTGGTATTTTTCTAACATTTCACTTTGTATATGTAGGTGGATATATTTTTGTCCCATTTACTCTTGATTTTTTTTCCCTCAGAAACAATGTAGCCGCTTTATTTAACAGAAAAATACTTTAACGGTGCATCCTTGATAGCAAATTAATTTCCTATTTTGCATGCTGCAAATTAACCATAGTTCAAATTCCAAGTGTTGGCTTTTAATAGCATGCTTATGTCTCCATTTTACTATTTACTCTGACATATGGTTAGCAGTTATTCATTGTAGAAAATATGGAAAATATATAAAGAAAGAAAAAAATGGAACAGATACATAAATACAAGGATATACATACCCCAAATATCAGTGCCCATAGTTTTAGCATTTGACTTTTTTTTTTTTTACTTTTTTACATGATTTAGATTATATTGTAGAGATACTTTCTTGCTGTCCTTTGTCAATATTTTAATAAGCATTTTTCTTAATTATTTATGCTATCCTGCATTTATTATGGAACCAGGATGGAATTCTGAAGTGAACATTAAATATTAATAAAATCAGACTTAGGGGTGACTAGATGAGGTGACTCCAGTATCAAATATTTGTCTATCTTTCAACAAGGTAACTTCTCTGAGCCTCACTTTCTCCATCTGATCTGTTTATCTTAAAGGGATCTGTTTATCTTAAATGATCTCAAATCCTTTGGGCTTCCCTGGTAGCTCGGTAAAAAAACCTGCCTGCAATCCAGAAGGCACAGGTTCAATCCCTGGGTCAGGAAGATCTCTTGGCAGAGGAAATGGCAACCCACTCCAGTATTCTTGCTTGGATAATCCCATGGACAGAGAAGCCTGGCAGGCTACATAGTCCATGGGGTTACAAAAGAGTCAGATACAATTTAGCAACCAAACAAAATTAAATCCTTTAGAGCTTCAACTTTTTAGGTTCCATGCAGTGGTTTTCTAAGAGTTATCTAAAGTATTAATTACAAATGCACACTTGGCAACTTGAATGTTCATTTATAGTTAGTTGGTTGTATCCCATTTCTGAAGCCAGTGTAAATTGAATTACTGCTCTGGGTTTTTTTATTTGCTTGCTTTGTTTTTGGTTATTTCAGCTTCATTTGAGTGTATAACCAGAGTACAATGAGTGTAGATTCTCAGCTTTGGAGGGTTGTAGAATAGAGGTCTTAGCAAAATGCCACGCAGTGACACAGGGATGTTGGATCTTCAAGTCCGTTTCCATGTTGATGTCTTAGTGCTTGGCTCAAAATTAGGCCAGAGCCAACTAACAGATTGCTACCCAACATAGGGGCTTCCCTGCTGACTCAGATGGTAAAAGACCTACCCAACAGAGACCTCTGACAGCCCTCCCACTTGTTGAAAGCCCCAATGGTGAATTCAGTAATGTCAAACCTGGTATCTACTTTTAAATCTATACTGTGTTACTAATATTTACTGAAGTGTAACTGTCAAATTACTTGATGTTACTCTGATCCCCATTATATTGCTGGAAGAGGTTACTCTGTGATAGTGTTTACTTTCTTGTAAAACAGTATGATTATAATTTTGTGACTTTTATGTTGTAATTTATCTGGTGACCTAGAATATATAATTAATTTTTAAAATATATTCTTGTAAAAGTAAGCTGAAACTACTAGTGTCTGTGTGTGCTTAGCCGCTCAGGCCTGTCCAGCTCTTCGACTCCATGGACTGTGGCCCAGCAGGTTCCTCTGTCCCAGGCAAGAATACTGGAGTGGGTTGCCATGTCCGCCTCCAGGGGGTCTTCCCAGCCCAGGGATCGAGCCCAGGTCTCTTCCCTCGTAGGTGGATTCTTACTGTCTGAGCCAGCGGGGAAGCCCAAGAATACTGGAGGGCGTAGCCTGTCCCTTTTCCAGGGAATCTTCCCAACCCAGGAATTGAACCAGGGTTTCTGCATTGCAGGCAGATTCTTTAGCAGCTGCACTACCAGGGAAGCCCAACTAGTGTGTATTATAGATTTACTGATTTTTTTTCCTTAAATGTTTCTATTTAAGATGATTGACACTCAGCTATAAATTCTTAAATAAATGCTTGTAATGTGGGTAATTTAGGGGGAGAAGGAAAAATTTATGAAGATTCTTTTCATTGTAATGTCAGGTTTTATCTTGGGATAATTTGATTTTTCAAAATTAAATGAAACCTGAAACAGTTAAAAATATTTATTTCACTTTACACAAGATGTTGATGGCCAATAAGCAAAGGCATTATTATGGGTATTAATGGAATAATTACTTCAGGTAAGATGATGGTCTGAAATGCTGAGGAATATCATTTTTTAAAAGAATATTCTTTTTGTTTCTTGTCTTTTATAAATAGACCTTTTGTACTTTTGAACTTACTAAGCTTTTAAATACACATGAATCAATATTACTTCATAGTTTTGTAGAAAAGGGTTTTTGTTGTTGGAGGTGGTGGTGTTGATCATTGTTATAGATTTTTTCTAAACAGATAAGGTCCTAATGTTTTCAGTTCAGATCAGTCACTTAGTCGTGTTGGACTCTTTGCGACCCCACGAATCGCAGCACGTCAGGCCCCCCCGTCCATCACCAACTCCTGGAGTTTACTCAAACTCATGCCCATCGAGTTGGTGATGCCATCAAGCCATCTCATCCTCTGTCATCCCCTTCTCCTCCCGCCCCCAATCCCTCCCAGCATCAGTGTCTTTTCCAATGAGTCAGCTCTTAGCATCAGGTGACCAAAAGTATTGGAGTTTCAGCTTCAGCATCAGTCCTTCCAATGAACA